CAGCGGGAGAGGTGTGAGGTTCGAACTCCAGCAACCTGAGGCTGACAGCTTTGTGGAAGCAGCCACTTAAAGGCCTGAGCTAGGGCCAGGCCCCCACACCTTTAAGTCTTAAAGGACAGTAACCCTAATTTATACTCACTATGCAGCCCAGGCTAGCTTGAAATTCTCACCCTCCTGCCTCCGCCTCCTGAGTGCTGGGATAATATGTTGTACCACCCCATCTTGCTGTGCATAATAACCTTTATTTTCCCCCTGTATTTTTTAGGGAAGGGTCTACAGGGTGTTCAGGGTCTCACTACTAGATCTGACTCTTACTGATTCTTCTGTTTACAGCCTCCCAAGTACTGGGATTACAGGTGTGCGCCACCACAGCAGGCTCAGGGATCAAACCCCCGGCCCCTGCGCACACTTGCACGCACCTTAACCTGCTGAGCTATGTGGCTGGCCCTATAATAACCTTAATTAAGCTTGCTTATCCTTTAATTTTATAATAGAGACACACTGTAATACCCCGTAAAGTAAGTTCCATGGTCAGTCTTTAATTTTTAAATTTTTTTTTTTAATTTTGAACTATATATAGTTCAGGCTGGGCTTGAGCTTACTATGTAGCCTAGGCAGGCCTCAAACTGTTGGTAATTCTACTGCCTCGGCTACCCCAAGTGTTGGGATTAGAGGTGTGCATCACCACAGCTAACCTAGAAAGTTAACATTTTGTGCACTGCAGTTTTCTTTCTTGTTTGTTTTTTTGAGACAGGGTCCCTGGCCTTGAACTCATTTGTTGATCCTCCTGTCTCAGCCTCTCAAATACTGGAATTACACGTATGTGCTACCATGCTCAGCTAAACTGTATTTTCTGTAATTAGTCCTATTTATTTACTTGACAGGATCTCACTGCAGTTCATGCTGGTTTAAAACTGTAGCCCAGGCCTCAGTCTCAGTGATTTTCCTGTCTCCAGCTTCCCAAGTGCTAGGGCTCTGGGTATGTACCACCACACTCAGTATTAGTCCCTTTTTAAAAAGGCACAGTGAAAGAATCAACTCAATATTTCTATAGTAAATTTCTCCTTTAGAACTGAGTTTAATTAGTAATGAACAAAAAATCCCTCTCAAATGTTATTCTTGAAACATCCCACCCATTTTGAAAACAAAGGCAAGCCAAGCTGTGGTAACTGTCATCAGCTCTCACAGACTCATGGCTTCTTCTGGAGTGGGGACGGGTGCTTGCTAGATAAGTGCTTCATCGGCAGGCTCCACCAAGCCCCTTAGTAACACCTGCAACTGCCGCCACCATCTGACCACCTGTGCACTAGCCAGGGTGGTTTCAAGGGGTACTCACGGAATCGTCCCAACAGACCACTCTGGAGGCATTAGATCTCTAGGTCTGACTGCGGCAGCGGACAGGGAAGAAGTACAAATGAGACCTGCTGTACCACACCTCACTGATGATGGAAAAGTATGGGCTGTGGAGGTGGGCGTGCCCTCACGGAAGGGTGTTTGTGCACCTTGTACTTCTGCCTCAGCTCTTCTGTATCTTCCTTTTCCACTTCTAGGACACGACGCCGTTCGGTAGCATCTTCGGCATAATCGAGCTTTACAAAAACAGATAAGAGTTAGTTTTTATTGCTAAGGATCCCCAAGAGATTAAATATGAAAAAGTCATCAGCACAACTAACGCTGTCTGTCGTGTGTCTTGCTCAGGCCTCCCTCGCTGGAGTGCTAGTACCCTAGGAGAAGAGCACATGGAAGGGTCAACCCTCGCGTGCTGGCGGCTCCTTCTGATAAGACCTGAATTCTACGCTCACAGAAGTGATGCAGGGGAAATGGAGAAGACACAGCACAGCTGACAGCTGGTACTGCAGATGACAGCTACAAGCAACTCTCCAGGTAGAGCTTCCAGCATGGCACCTGTCCCAGGAACAGAGCAGCACTGAGGCTGTGTCACCATGTATGATGTGGCTTTGCGGTGTCACCTGCCCATGCTCATGCCACTCGACTTCTTTACATGCCAGTGCCAACAGGGAAACTGTGAGCACCCTAGGGGCCTCCATACACACAGCACTAAATGGGAATGTAAAACACACTTTTTTTTTTTTTACTGTGCAAAGGAAAATAGCGAAACTATACTCCACCAGGTCAGTGTTTTCTGAATTCAGCGCTAAAGCCAACCCTAGATAATCTGTAAACTGAGAAGACCCACTTACCTCCATCTCCATGCGGCCCATGCCCATGACATCATACTTGACAACGATGGGGATCGGATCAGTTCTCCCTGTAACAGGAACACATGGCCAGGGTCAGACGCAGCCGAGCCAACACTCACAGTACACATTAGGCTGGGTGGTTAGAGATCTTGCCTTGGAGTGCAGAGACCAGAAAGCTACAGTGAACCAAACACAGCCATTCTCACAGCTTACACACAGCCGCTTCGTCCTGGCTTGCCAGTGACGCTGTGCTGAGGGCCCTCACAGGGGGCAGGGCAGGTCCTGAAGACCAACTCAGTGGGGCAGAGATGCAAAGTGGTGCTGAGTGGCACCAGGAGGCTTTTATTAAAAACCTCAAAAGTTCCTTTTTAAATGATTCCTGAGTAACTGCTCAAGAATCACTTCACTCCATCCATTGACATCCTCCCCAAACTCTGAAACCCCTCAACTGACAGGCTTAAATGGAAAAGCTGTCAAGTATTAAGCAGTAAAACTCTGGAATTATACACATATCAGCAGGTTTAACTTTTTGATGCCCCCGCCCCCCAGAACTGGGGATTGAACTTACTTATTTTACTGAGCTATCTCCCTGGCCCCCTTTTTTTTCTTTTGAGACAGGGTCTCACTATGTAGTTCAGGCTGGCCTTGAACTCACTTTGTAGCCCAAGCTGGTCTCAAACTCACAGTGATCCTCCTGCCTCAACTATATTAGTCCCTAGTCCTGAGATTACAGGCATATCTGAAGGTAAGTAAAAATTGACACTTGTCCTTATGGAAAAAAGCAGTTTTACTTTTAATCTGGTGCTCCAGATCCCATTTACCACAGTGTATTTAACAGTGGCTGTGGTTATCAGTAAGCTGTGAAAAGGACTTGTTGCGAAGAAAATTGACTTTAAACTAATTGATCTATGCTGGAGAATTTTTAAATAAATATATATTTAATCCACTCATAACCAGCCAAACAAAGCAAAATGGGGCAGACAAGCACTTTACTACCACAGCTGTTTTACATCACAACTTGCGAGGGGTATTGTGATGTAAGCCCACTGAGAAGGGACTTACCTTACCACCGTGTGCCTTTCATGAGAAAACAGGGTTTACTTCCCTCATTCACTCAGGCTGGTATGAACAATTGGTTTTTGTTGTTATACACACATTAATATTATACCTTTGGGCTAAAAGCTGAGTTTCATCAGACTAAATCTCAAGTATTATCTGCACCCCCCCCATCATGATCATGACTGTTTGTGGCCTGCAGAAAAATAAAAAAACTTATCCAAAATGGCCAGTAACCATTTGCATCCGGTTGCTCTATATTTGCAGGATTAAACTTCTGTCTTTAAAACACAATGAAAAACAAATTCAGAAGTTTATTTACTTATCACCAATATTGCATTGCTTTTAAAAAGGTAATGAGGAACAATTAGCATAATTTAAAAATCTGTTTAAATAAAGATATCTGGGGGGGGGGCTGGGGCTCTGAGCACAGCCCTTTCAGGGTACTACGAGGCTGCCCAGCAAGCAGCAAGACTGTGAGCTGCCTCATGCCCAATGGTATAATAAATCCGCAGTGACTGCAATCTTTAGCAAAAGGACCAAATTAAAGACAGGTTATAAAAATGACTTCCTAGGTGCAGTATCACTTTCATAACGTCTCAGTCAGGGATTTACTGGTAAAAACAAAAGGTCCAATGAAGGAATTGAAAAGAAATATCCGATTTACTTTCTTTTTGATATTATTTTTGTTCTGCGAGAATTTGTTCTGTAAAAAGAACATTTGGTACAAATTTTTTACCTTTGTAAACCCCTGTTATAAACTGCATTAGTACTTTTGCCCTCTAAGGCAGTCAGTTTTAAAAATGTACTTATAAATTGCAGTAGCAAGTGCTAGTGCCCACAACATTGGGGAAATCAAGTTTTTGACAGTATTAGGATTTAATGTTTTAACTGATTTCTAACACAAACAGATACATCCCTTCTTAACAGTACCCTTCAATGAACAAGGGTCAGACAAGTTGCAGAAGGAAAGGAAAGGAAAATGAAATAGACCAAGCAGAAGGATGAAGGCTACAACAGAGAAAGGAAGCCTAACATATTGGTGCACTGATGACAAAAGAGGAATTCAGTCTGAAAATAAAAAATTACCACTGCTAAGTTTACCATCACCACAACAAGTCCAGGGTCATAATGCTGCAAAAAAGAAACACCATTTGTTAGGCAGCAACCATAAGGGCGGGCAACAGGCCTTCTAGCAGGCAGGCAGACTAGGGCTGGTACCAGGGGTCTGTCCCTCCCCCGTCCCAGCCAGGACCAAGGAGAGGGTTCCTGAGGGAGTAGCTGTCTGCTAGTGTGCTGCTGCCCAGAACAGGAACAACTCCCCTTCAGGTGCACAGGGCAGGGCCAGGCGGGGCAGTGGGTTGTTGCAGAGAACTACTGACCGTTTCTGACCTCTGCTCTATTCACCTGGGGAATTAGGGTTCAGGGCCTAAGATGAAACTTTTCCTTGGTCACGTTAAAGACAGGATCAGATCAAGCGGGCAGTGATCAATCAGCCTCTCTAAAAGAACCCTAGGAAGTAGGGGGATGATGGTGCTTGAGGACCACTCTAAAAAACTGTCAAACCAAGGTACAGAAGGCCCCACTGTGGTGAGCTTTTAGAGATCCCAGGTTCACTGCCACCACTGGCCTAGCAGCCTCAGTGCAGTTGTCCTGAAGGAGCAGCGGCTTCCTCTTCACACAGACTCCACAGGCCTAGTGTCTTCCTGCCAACCTTGGCAGGAGGGCGCCTCAGAAGCCGAAGAGAGCAGCTGCAGCCCTGCAGCCCCGCACACACCCACTCAGAGAGCCAGCAGGAAGGTGACCAAGAGGAGTCTGGGAGCACACACTACATCACACAGTACAACCCACAGACCTTCCACACATCCTACAACATACCACATACACACTCCACATTGCACATATACCACACATCCCCCCAAACTCCCACCAGATAGCACACACACTGCATACCCATGCCACACCACACATACCCACACAACACACTCTACACCCAAACCCCCAACCTCCCCAAACCAAATGTACACTACACCCACTATACACACCCCCATGTACCCTTACTACACACTGAATACAGCCCCCACAAACATATACACAAACACAGACACACGAAGTTTTCAGTCTCCGATCTACCGATGTTAAGTCCTACATAAAGAAGAGCACTTGAAGACTGAATACTTCTGAATACTGAATACTTCTGAAAAGTACTTCTGAAAAGGGGGGGGGGGCAGCAACAGAATGTAGAGTAATATAAGTTGTTAATATAAGCTGTCTACAAAACTCAGCTTTAAAAAATACTAATGAACTGGGGCCGGGAAGATAGCTCAGTGGAATAAGTGCTTCCCTGGCAAGCGCAAGGGCCTGAGTTCAATCCCTGGTTCTGCCAAAAAATAAAAAAAAATAAAAATACTAATGAACCAAATCCAGGTTCTCCATTTCTTCTTAAGCATGGCAAGTGTTAAGTACGTTAAATTATTTTTTTAAAGTTTTGTTGTGTCACTAGAAAGGAGGCAACTTTGACTACAGCACTAAATTCTCTTCATCAAAGAAAATGGCTTACAGGACCGAGGAGATAGCACAGCAGCATAAGTGCCTGTCAGGCAAGCGCAAGGTCCCACATTTGATCCCTGGTACTGCCAAAGAGAGAGAGAGAGAAAGAGAGAGAGAGAGAGAGAGAGAGAGAGAGAGAGAGAGAGAGAGAGACTTATAGACATTGATTTTCAGATGCTATGACCATACCCCAGCCTGCTGGTGAGGGGGACTAAAATACCAAAACCACAGAACACATGCCAAATCAAGAACATAGCAATATATACATATTTTTTCCCCAGAACCGGGGATTGAACTCAGGACCTTGTGCTTGCCAGGCAAGCGCTATATTCTACTGAGCTATCTCCCCGGCTTCTAACATATCAATATATTTTTTTTCTCCATAATTTTAAACACATCAATATTTTAAAAAACAATAAAAGCAAAAGAATGTGCCGATTTGGATGTAGACACCTGACAGAAAAACTGGTATGCAAACCTTCTATATCAAAACTTTGTTTTAAAAATCAATGGGAATTTAACTGTCTATACTTTTGAAATTATTTGTTTTATGTGCCTGCAAGCACTCTACTACTGAGCTACACCCTTAGTTCTGTCTATATTTAAAAGGCAATCTTACTTCCACCATGATATAAATCCCTAAATGCTGCTGCAACAAGGCTTGTTAAAATGCAAAGGCATTATGATTTATAAGAGGTGAATGAGATCAAACAGGACAGGGTATGGTACATGCCTTAGGTCCAACTACTGAGGAGGCTGAGGTGGGAGGATCACCTGATGGTGACAGGAGGCAACACCAGGCTATCTGCAAAGCAAAACAAAACAAAACCACAACAAAAAAATGCAAGAACCCACTGATTATCCATAGCCAGTCTGTCTCTGAGAACCATCTCTCCATAATAAATTCTGATTCTAAAACAGTTAAGGAAATACCAACCTACAGAACTGGCCCAAGAACCTGACTATAGAGAAATAAAGGGCCAGAGAGATAGCTCCATGGCAAAAATGCCTCACTGGTAAGAGCAAGGTCCTGAGTTTTAGCCCCAGTACTGCAACAAAAACAACAACAAAGACAATCATAATCTGGTGGTCAGTCATGCTAAAAAAGAGAAGACATATGACTTACTTCCCTGTGGAACTACCAGCATTGAAACAAGTGCAATCTGGCCGCTGTGACCTCTGCACTAGTTCCCCAAGAGTCACTCAACACCAGCACCTGTTAGTTCTGGGTTGGGCATCCAGCTCAGTGCAGAGCGCCAGGTAGTATGCACAAGGTCCTGCCCAGGCGGCAAACACACAGAAACCTTAGTCTCTTCCAGCCTCAGGACACTGTTCTAGGCACGAGGCACATAGCACTGATTTAAGACTGATCCTAAAGCAAAACAAAAGGCATCAAAAGGTGGTAAAATTCACTTCCAAAATACCCAAACTGGTAGAAACTATTAACCTACCCTGACATATTGCTTTTCTTTCTTTCTGAGACAGGGTCTCCTTATGTAGCGCAGTGTAGCCTCAAACTCACAGTCTTTCTGCTGTACCCTGACATAGCTCATATTTCAGGTAATTTCAATATGTGAAAATCAAGAGTGGAGAATTAGAAGGTGACCGCTCCCTGCAGTGCCAGTGCAGCAGAACTCTGAAGCCAGCCAGTAGCGCTCTGGTATGCCACTGCATCCACTGAACAGTGACTCCACACAGCTTCAGAGACATGAAGAAAAAGTCTGCTTACAAACTGAAGCTCCAATTCCGCAACATCTCCTAAATATATGCTTGCAAAGGCTTGTTAACAAGGATTGATTTCAAAATCATTCAGGTATTTTTCTTAGTAACTGTAGTATACAACACCTGCTACCTTGTGGAAACACTAATCAGAAATATCCAGCTCAGTAATATATCCAGCTCAGTAATTACACCTTAGAGTGTTACAATTTTCTTTCTTTCTTTTTTGTGGTACTGGGAATTGAACTGAGGACCTTGGGCTTGCAAAGCAGGTGCAAGGGCCTGAGTTCAATCCCCGGTTCCAGGAAAAAAAAAAAAAGACATTTGGACTCAAAATAAAGTTCAAATTATCTACCTCTACAAAAACTACCTTATATTCCTGCCATGGGCTGCTTAGCAACCTACACAACAACCAGGGAAATATAACTTTCAATACAAACAGTGCTAGGGACAGAAGTTTATTTGTGACCTAAAGGAATCTCCATCAGACACTTTACAAAAGTATCACAGTTGGCTTCTCGGGTAAAAAGAGGTCCATTTTATAACAGTAGCCAGTGTGCTAAGGAACAAGGACAGAGACTACAGAGGCTATAAACAAAGAAGGATTACAGAGTCAGAGCATGAGGCCTGGCAGGTCAGCTCCCCAGGATGCTATGAGGTGCAGGGCCCTCAGGAGGGGTGAGAAGACTCACACTATTTTCCCAGAAAAAGAACCTGGCAGAGTTCATGCTTTTACTTCAGGTGAGGCTGAACTAACATCGTATTACTTGCTGAAGCTATCTCATGCTACCTCTATGCTGAGATCAATTTATTTTTAAGTGGCAAAAACAATTTAATCAATATGATTTGGGGGTAATACTGTCCCAAACAAAGCCTAAGAAAAAGAGGGAAAACGAAAAGTCCTTGAAAGCAGGGGGACTCTGAGTTTTCCTTATACCTACCCCCCAAGCAGCCGAACTGAAAAGTTGCCACTGGGTATCGAGGTGGCTAGGTAGCAGGCTGCCAGCAAGTGAATGATCCTAGTGCCATCACTGGAGGGAGGGAGGAAGCTAGCTGCCCCAACTATTTTCTTCAGTGGAAAACTACCTGGATTCGGTTTTTGTGATAATGGCGTTTTGCCAGATGTGGTGGTGCACACTGTGATCCCAGCATTCTGAGAGATGAAGGCTGAGGCTAAGGATCAGAAGTTTGACCCCAGCCTGGGCAACTCAGTGAGACTGCCTCAAAATTATGGAGAACCCCAAGATTTTGGAGAGAGAGAAAGACTCCTCAGATCTGACAGGCCCTCAGAATCCACAACCCTCCTTAGGAGTACCTCCCTCGCTGTTCCAAGACAGAAAACAGAAAGGCTTTCAGAGTAATTCCTGAAACAAGCCCTAAACATTGGCACAAGGAGTGTGGCTCAGGGGTAGAAAGCTACCTAGCATGGGAGACCCTTGGTATAATCCACAGAACACAAACCCGCCCCACCAACACACACTATATTTAACAAGGTTACACTTACCAATTGCAGAGCTGGAATTTAAGCCCAAGTCAAATCTAAAATTAGTTCACAAACTAACAAACCATGGGTCACATACAGGCCAGGCCTGGTGTAAATTCTGTTAACCTCATGTTATTTTAAACTTCCACTCAACATGTACCAGTTCGTTCCTGATTCTTTTTTTTTTTTGGTATTTTAGAGAAGGGTCTATAGGGTGTTCAGGGTCTCCCTACTAGATCAGACTCATAGTAATCTGCCTGCCTGCAGCCTCCCAAGAGCTGAGATTATAAGCGTACCACCTAGCCCAGACTCAATCACTGACTCAGTGTGCCCTGGGGGCAGGGCTGGCACATCAGGCCTGGGGAGCGAACCCCTGGCCCCT